CTCCAAAAATTAGCTTATTATTTGAATCTGTTGCTGCTGGAGTGCTCGGCAGCATCTGAAACGGATGGGAGTGTATTTGCCTTTTTGAAAACCAGTTTCTCTTGGTCTTAGTTTTTTCATTTTAATTTCCAAACACAATGCAGAAAATCAGAATGAGTTTAAAAAAAAAAAGGAAACTTAGAGCCTGTGCAAAAGGGTCCTGCCCCCCCACCCCCATTCAGAGAGGCTGGTCCCGCCCCAGCCCCCCCCACCAAGCCTCACTCTGCCCCGACCTTCAGGCCTCACCCACCATCCCAGACCCTCTCCAGGCTTCCCGGAGGGGGGAGCCCAGGCCCAAGCTGTGGGGAGCCCCCTGCAGGGGCTCAGATGAGGTCTGAGGGAGGGAGACGAGAAGTGGGGTACATCTGAGGTCCACTCCGCTCTCCCCCTGCAGCTCACCAAGGGTGCAAATGGCCAGACTGGCAGCCTGGGGCACTGCTGCCCCCAGCGCCCCGCGGGCCTGAGGGCAAAGCGGCCACAGCTCTACTAAGGCCTTGACATCACTCTGCCTGCTGCCCTTCCCAAAACCAAAGTAATGGCGGGGCCTAGCGGCCCTCGAGGGGCGTGCACGCTGCCACCTCACTTAGGTGCCCTCTCTGCCGGCTGGGCGGCCCCACACTGCCACCTCCAGCTGTTGTCTTGCAGGTGAGGAAGGAAGCATGAAACACAACCCTACACTTGGTGGCCAGGTGATCTCCTGTCACTTCACAAATAAGAAAACGGAGACCCAGAAAATGAACCCTACCGAAGGTCACATAGCAAGTTAGTGGGAAAGCCTGGGGCAGGACCCCAGGTCGCTGCCACTCCACCCTATGTGCTGTGGCTCTCCGCTCTTTACAGCCCAGACCAGGAACCCCAGCTTTCACAGTGGCCCAGCCTCACCCCAATTTACAAAGCCTAAAACCATGTGCAGACTGAGTGGTAGATGAGGCTTTCTTAGGATGACTTGCCGAAACCCTTTCTATCATCCTTTGATAATCTATGCTCACAGACCCGTGAAACTATGTTCTTTTTTTGGGGGGTGGGGTGGGGTGGGGGAAATCCCTTGCATAAGAAAGCTTGACACTGAATTTTGTTATATAGGTATATTGTATATATGCTGATGCAATCAGAGGAAAAAAAACAGTGCAAATACAATTACAATTCATAATAATACTCAATGCCCCCGGGAGCTGCCCCATTTCCTCGGCTCCCTCCCGGCCCCCAGCACGTCCCCACAGCACCCACCTAATGCCGGGGGCCGGGGAGGGTGGGCAGCTCAGGGTCGGGAGTGGGCTCTGCCAAGGCAGTGCTGGTGACCCGGAGGACGGCTCCAGGGCGGGGAGGCAAGGCACAAATCAGGGGTGGGTGGTGGGGGAGGTGGCGTCTCTAAGGAGGGATGGGGTGGGAGCAGCTGCCAGTCTCAGCGTGCTGGGCCCGGCCCACTCCCCTCCCCGCCCTCCACAGCCCTGCCTCCCTACCCCCTCCCCTTCCCCAGAAACCCTTTTGCACGGATCATACACAAACGGGCACATTACAAAATGACATAACACAGTTTCACAATATCCATGGCGAGAGGGCTTTTTTTTCTCTTTTTCAGGTTTTTTTTTCTACACAATGTACAATTCCTTTTAAATGGATCAAGAAATAGCTTATATACACGGATGAGTCCTTGTTATAACATCTCGGCAGCAAGTATCGTAAGCTAATGAAAGTCTCGTTGGAGGGCAGGGGAGCCTAGGGCTGGGTGGGTGGGGGTGTGGAGAGAAGGGTTATGCCTTCTGCAGGGGTCGGGGGTGGGGAGAGGGACTGGTTGGGGAGAGGAACAAAAGTAAAATACCAAGAAGCGTCTTTACAAAGCAGTTCTACAGCTAACTCCTTTTAAAGGGGAAGGAAAGGTAACCAAAGCAGGAAAACATTTATCTTTGTGTCTTAAAAAAAAAAAGGTCTACCACACATACATCCAAAAATGTGGAAAAAATACTTATTCCAGGGATGGAGAAAATCCAGATGCTGTGGTCAAATGACAAAAATAGCAAATAAAAAAAAAGAAATCTACAAACGAGGAGGGCCCCTGTCCCTCAGCCTTACCCCGCCTTCCCGCTGGTCGACCCGCTCAGGCGTCTAGGGGAAGCCACCGTCCACAAACGGCTACGTCCAGAGCGTCTGGATGCGGAGGAGCTGGGCAGGCCAGCGGGACCCCTGCTCTGTCGTCCCCACCGAGCCTCGGAGCACTGGCGTGGAGGGCAGCTCTGAACAGGGCGTCACCTGTCCTATCTTTAGGCATGAGGTTCAGTGTGTGTGGGCTCAGCCTGGGGATGGACAGCGACAAGAGACTTGGAGGGACACATGGTGATCAGTGATGGAAAAAACAGAAAAATAAGGAAGACAGGACGGGGGTGGAGAGCAAGAGGGGAGGTGGGAGGCTAATATTTCACCATGATTGAGGAAAACGCACCCCCATCACTAATCCCATGATTGAGGAAAACGCACCCCCATCACTAATCCCAGGGAAGGGTGTGAAAATGGGGAGGTGTAAGAAATCAAATATCAGTGACTGAGCAAAGGGTCACGGAGCTGAACGAGTCACCGAGCAGCCTCCATGTGACTGAGCCTGAGGGCATAAACACGGGGAAGGCTCCCGCGCCCCCCACCATACCCCCACCACCTCCGCACCGTGGCGGGCACTCGGCTGGGCATTCCTTCCCCAGTGCTCCCCACTTCCCTTGTCTACACTTCCTACTTCCAAACCCCATCAAAGGTAGCCTGGCTCCCAGGGAGGAGACTCAGATCAGGGCAAGGACGGCCCCCAACCAGACGGTATTGCACATTCTCTGTTCCTTACTTTTAATCTCAACTGACAAACTTGGGCACCTGGCACCTCCAAGCTGGGGAAGGGGAGACACGACAGAAATGGCACTTCATCATGGCGGGTGGGGCAGAAGAGGCCGGACAGACATGCCACAAGGCAAGGTGACTTGTAGGGAAAATTAAAAAAAAAAAAAAAAAAAAAAAAGCAAAAACCAAAGCAAACAAAACAAAACAAAAAACCAAACCAAACCAAAAAAACACTTCCAATTTCATGGAAGAGAGAAAAGCAACACCAAACAATTTATCCAGTGCTTTCAAAGCACAGAGGGCAAAGCAAAGATGTGAGAATATATATATATATATATATATAATTTTAAAATAACCCCAGACCCAGTTTCATAACCCCCCCTCTCCCCCCACTTACAGTCAGGGGCACCACAGGCCCCAGAAAAATACTCCGAACAGCCCCACCGCCATCTGTTACTAGCATCTAGCTGCAGGCCACGCGCCGCTGGGGGAGCCCGGCCTGGCTGCATCTCTGCCCCTTTATTAAGTGCTCAATGAATCTGCGGGAAGGGAGGAAAGGAGAAACTCAGGAAGGCCCCACCGTGGAGTAACCCACAGGGGCTCTGGGGGCGGGGGTGGGGGGACGGAGCCTGATCCCAGCTCCTTCTCTCCACCGACCCACAAACTTTATGGGCAAGATGTGCAGTTTGTGTGTGTTAATTTTAAAAGTGCCTTACTTTAAAAAAATTATTTAATTTTTCAAAATAAAAACGGAGTTTTTCCAGGTGGCTTTTAAGGGCAAAATTCTAAACAACTCTTCATACCTCTCTGCTCAGTGTATCCCTTCCCTGAGCTCTGGCAGCTTCTAGAGCTGGAGAGGCAGGTGAGTGTTACAGGAGAGCAGAAACCCCTGCTTTTACTGGGCTTCCTGTGCCTCAGAGACAGCCTGGTCCCCCTCCCGCTTCCCCCACGGTGTGGGCAGATGGGGTGCCAACCTCTCCTATCCCCAGAACAGCAACATTGCACAATTCGGTTCATTCTTGACATTAGTAGCACTTAAGAAAAAGCTGGAAACAACAAAAAAAGGAAAATTAATAGATTTCTGGGGGCGGGTTGGGGAGGGGGCACCACAACTATTTTTGGAGCCGAGACCCAGAGCTGGTTTTGACCGGAGCTGTTTGGCTCTGAGCAGTGAGTTCCGTACTGAGTACAGCAGAGCAGGGCAGGACTCCAAGCTGGCCAGGCACCCCTGTCCCTCTCCTCCTGGCGGGGAGGGTGGGGGGACAGACGGACGGGGTCTCACGTGCTGGGAGAGAAAGCCCTTCCCTCTTCCCTGCTCCGTCTCACCCGGCGTGCCCAGCCCGCTCAGGCTGCAACAGCCGCACCTCGGAACTGCAGACGGGGGCTGTGTTTACCAGGAGCAGATCAGGATTAAAAAGCCGGGGGGTGGGGGCGTTACAAAGAAAGTAAGATGAAATAATTCTGGGTGAGTTGACCTGGAGCAGACGTCTATCTCCACTGGGTCCAGGAGAGAATCCGGGAGGCCAAGACTAAGCCCCATCCTTGGCTCAACACTACACATGTCACCATGTCCCTCTCCGCTTTCTCTATGGGTCAATTCCATGGTGGTTACACCTTAAAGCTTCTCCCTCCAGGCCCGTTCCCCTCATTCTTAAGAGCCCAACTTCAGTACAAAACACCACTTCCCCGACTGCCCAGCCCAGAGACACCCAGGGCTGATGCCCTCCCTGTGTGATGCCACCACCTCCTCCCACCCCAGGTTAAGTGCATAAAAAACTTCTGCCCCCAATGCTCCCAGTCATGTCTGCCTGGGCACCCCCTGCAATCAATAATGCTCCTGTCATTTATCTGAATGTCATCTGTGTTTACCAAAAAAAAAAAAAAAAAAAAAAAAAAAAAAAAAAAAGCAAAAGAAAAAAAAAAATGAGAAAATAAAAAGGTTTAACCGTCCACTGAACAAAGGGAGGACACACAACATNTTAAGTGCATAAAAAACTTCTGCCCCCAATGCTCCCAGTCATGTCTGCCTGGGCACCCCCTGCAATCAATAATGCTCCTGTCATTTATCTGAATGAAAAAAGTGTAAAAAAAAAAAAAAAAAAAAAAAAAAAAAAAAAAGAAAAAGGCAAAAGAAAAAAAATATTGAGAAAATAAAAAGGTTTAACCGTCCACTGAACAAAGGGAGGACACACAACATCATTAAAAATGGTAATAATTAGAGCATAAAAACTTTAGAAACACACGTCAGAGGGCTTAGATTTCTCCCCAGGACCTCGCTCTGACCTCATCTGAGGCGAAGAGCACCTCACTGTGAAAGAAAACCGGAGGGAAGACAAGAGCGGCAGAGTCGCAGCAGTGAGAGAGGGTGGCGGGGCAGGGCGCGTGTTTTCCTGTTGATTTCTAGGTTTGTCTTCTGTTGTCTGTTTTGTTTTCCGTGTATGGTAGGCACCAGTACAGGCACTGCATGCGACGGAAGTTGGGGGCAATGGGAGAGGAGGGGTGAAGGGTTCGAGGCTGGGGCAGCAGACGGACAGGCGTTATTTCTGCCCGCTGATGGACTGCGCTATAGACCGGGGCGGGATCATGTCTAAAAGGTACTCCCGCTGTCTGTCTGCCAAACTGGGAGCTTTGTGTCCTCCGATGCCGGTGTTCAAGTACGCAATGTTGACACCTGGACGCGGAGACAAAGGGGGGGGAGGGTGCGCAGCCATTAGAAGAGGACGTGTCGCCTCCCTGACTTCATGCCCCGTGACGGCCCCAGGTCGATCTGGGAGGACCCGGGGAGACCGGGGACGGGTGCACATTTGGAGGTGGGGCAGGAGCGCCAGAGGTTGTCTGCATCTGTCCAGACTTAGGTAAGCTCTATGTGAGCACCCCAGCTTTAGGGCAAGGGGTCCTCTAGAAACTTCAGTCCTACCAAGAACAGAATCAACATGGTCTTGATGGGATGGGAGAGTCAGAGAAGCAGGAGAATAACGAAGACAAAGAGACGCACTCACGGAACCTGCTTTGGTTTTCTGTGAAGCAGCGCCCCTCGACCATTCAAACAGGGTGGGGACAGCTGACCCTGCTCTTGTCGTCGAGAGGTCAGTAGCCACACGCCCACAGACAGGCGCACCAGTGAACGGACAAGGGCAGGGACCGGGCTGTTCTCACCACCAGAACCCTAGCGCGCTGTGCTCTGCACGGACTGTGAATTTAGCAAACGTGTGCCAAGTAACAAAAGAACGAAGGGAGAAAGGGCTAAAGAAAGAGTGGACATGAAGAGCCGCCTGCCAGCCTCAAGGCCCCTCCCATCACCCCGTCTTACCTGGCATCCCAAGGAGGCCACCAGGCACAGACAACTGGGGCGCCTGTGCGAAGTTGGAGAGCATGGAACGGGCAGACGTGGGTATGCCGCGCTGGAGGCCGCTCTGGGGCTGTGGAGCCTGTGACGGTGAGCAGATGGTGGGTCACTAGGTGGCCACGATGGATGGGGGAAGCGGGGGCGGGGGGGTAAGGGTCCGGGAGCACAGAAGAGCAGGACTTCCCACCAAGGTGGACACACTGGGATGCACGGGTGACAAACCACCCCCTGAAGATGACCTCACCTGCCGAAGCGTATGATGTCTCATGATGGTCTCTTGTTTACTGACGCTGGACACGGCCGGAGCCGCAGTGGGGGAGAGGGCTGCCTGCTGCTGTAGTCGCTGCTCGATTTCCTATCGGGAGTCAGCAGGTCAACTTGGCAGGACAGTACCCGGCCGCCTACCCAGGACACCTAGGGCCCCTCCTACTGCTAACGCTGCCGGCTACAGGAGGGACTGGAGAAGGCAGGTCGGGTCTCTGGGCACAAGTGGCCGGCACTGCTTTGCAGATTAAGGGGTCCGTCTGTCCAGGAAAAGCCTGGTGCTCAGAAGCTGGCAGGAGAGGCCTGGGTGGTGGCAACAGCTGATGGATGTGCTGACGGCTGACGACTTTATGGAGGTTTTATTTCTGACTCCTGTCTACCTGTTTTCCAGAAGGTCCCTGGATGCTACCCAAAGGGGTCTGATGGGTGGTGGGATGGAAAGAGGATTGAGGAGAAGGGTCCAAGCCTCCCAACACACCCTCCCCTCGCCCAGACCCTCTCGCTGTGTGAGCACCACAGGGCACGCCAGCGCCCTCCACGCCGTGCCTCTCCGCAGGGCCACGTGACAGTACATGCTCTTCCTGGTCACTCCCTTGTCAAATACGGACTACAGAGAATCCCGTCTCTCCAAGAGATTTCCAGTACAAATATCACCTCTCCCACCAAAATCCATTTGTTTGAGGAGGACACGAAGTTGAGGAGTGATTTCTTTGGTGCTGTCAGGGAAAGCCACATCTCCGCCTGTCTGTCTCCAGCCGGGACCGCACTGTCATTTATGCTCTTGCCCAACCAGAGACAGTCACATGGAAACGGGCAGACAGATCGGCATGGGGAGGGACAGGGAACCCGGGCCTCCCGGGCATCAGGACTGTGGGGATCACACAGACAAATTCTCTAAAAACCGGAAGGAACTATCTTTTGGGAAAACCCAACCTGACTAGGTGGCTGGGGAGAGACCAGAATTCTTACCTGTTCCTGCTGGAGGGCTTTAACAAAAGCATTTTTCAGCCGGTTGGTGTGCTCAGCCTTCAGAGCCTTCTTCTGGTTGGAGGTCATACACTGCTCACACAGAATCTTACCGCTCTTCTCCTGCTTCCAGTGGGGGGTGAAATCTGTGCGGCACTGGGCACAAACAAAGGGTTCGACCCGCAGGAGTGAGGCGCAGCTTTTGCCTAGACGCCAACAGAGAGAACAGTCAGGCCCTCACACTTCCTCACCCCCTACTTCTCTTTATCAAATGAATTTTTCAGGAGGTGATTCTGCTGAATTAAGAAGAGACTCTAAAAGAAGAGTGCTCTGCAATTTATAAAGTAACTTTTACTTCATTTGACTGTAACAGCATCACTTGAGGGAATCCAGGCAATCCCGTCCCCGCTTATGGAGGAGGAGGCGGAGAAGCAGAGCCCCCAGCAGCAAAGCCTACGTAAGAACAAGCTTTGTGGACAAGTACAGCAAGAGGGAAGTGTGCTAATCACAGGACAGCAGACTCACCTGCATCCGCCACACGTGCTCCTTAGCACCCTTCTACCTCAGCCCACGCTCAGCCCTGTCACATTTACATGCTTAGTTATTCGTGTCCGAATGAGATCTGTTCAGAGTCAATGCCGAGCCCTTCGGGCACTCTCCTCTACTGTCAGGTGTTCCCCTGACATGCCTAGAAATTTACTAACTTCCGTTAATGTTAACACTTCACTGGTTCAGCGCTGGTTCACAGCTTCTACATGGTCATGGTCACCTGCTCAGTACAGAGCAGCCAGTACACCTACTTTCCCACCTGTAAGTCCTCAAATGGCAGAGACTGAACATAACATCATAATGTAGCGCAATGCCACACAAGCACCGACATCACATGTAAGTGTTCTAGCCACCAAACTGTGTATACATCGTGCTGGGCACCACTGAAAAGAACCAACCAACATCCTGTTAAAAATATACAAGATCTACAAAACACAATACAAATATTAAGCCTAAGCTGTACAAACACATAAAAGCATTTCTTTTTTTTTTTTTGCCCCGCCCCCTCATATAAAAGCATTTCTAATTTTTTTAAATGTTTTATTTATTTCTGAGAGAGAGAGAGCGAGCGAGCATGAGCAGGGAAAGGTCAGAGAGAGAGAGAGACACAGAATCTGAAACAGGCTCCAGGCTCTGAGCTGTCAGCATAGAGCCCGACATGGGGCTTGAACCCATGAACCGCGAGATCATGACCTGAGCCAAAGTCGGACACTTAACTGACTGAGCCACCCAGGTGCCCCCATAAAAGCATTTCTGACATGCCGTTCCCAAACAGCCTCTGAAAAGCGAACGGGAGGCGGTGTGAGGACAGGAAGGAGAGGTTACTTGGTACGCGGCCCGGGTCAATCAGGCTTGGCAACCTCCAGCGCAGATAAAAGACTGACCAGAAAAAGGAGCCTCACCTTGGCTGTCGATGACACTCTGTACGACTTCTTCCAAGCCCACCATGTAGATGAACTCGCTGTTGGCCGCACTGGGCAGGAAGTGAAGCAGGGGAGCGGGAGGTTTCGGGGGCGGAATCTCCAAGAGGGTCTTTTCCAGCTGTTTGCGAAGAGCCAGTTTGGCGGCAGCCTGGGAGTTGGCGGCATCGGTCATGGCACCGGGGCTGGGCAGGGGTGAGGACACCCTGCTCACGGTCCCCGGCTGCATGTGGGAGGCGAGGTTCATGTAGATGGCAGAGGACGTCGTGCGCTGGCAGGGAACAGAAGAACTTGACTGCTGGAACAGAGGGGTCACAGCGTCAGCAGCGCGGAGTGGGGGAAGGACTGATTACTTCCGGCAGAAAACACTACCTGAGCTGCGTGTGGACAACTCAGCTTTCCCAAAACTCAGAAAAAGGGAGGAGGTGTCCAAGCTCAACGAAGAACTCCAGGAGCATCCAGGAGACACCTGCCCAGAGGAAGGCCAGGACCCGGCCGGGGATGCTGTCTGGCCCACGCGCCTCGGCCTCTCCTTCCCCAGACCCCCACTTTCCGCCAGGCGGGGTGAGCCTGCTGCTGCTCTGCCGTACGGCCCCCCTTCTCCACTCCTACTCCCAGGGGGTCCCTGCTGCTTCCACCTTGGGGACGACCATCCCTACAAGCTCTACCACGATCAGCCTGGCTGTCCTAGAGCCTCTCTATGTTCCAAACCATACATCCTATGGTCCTTTCAACAGGGAAAGCAAAGACAAGACTTCTCTGTTTCCATATTAGGACTTTCTCACCGGCTGGTAATTGATGGCAGGATTCATGTTGGGTGTTGTGGTGCGAACAAGGCCAGGCTTAGGTGGGCCCCGCTGACCCTGGAGCTGGGCTGGGTTTGGTGCAATAACACGTTGGGACATCAACATATGTGGGAGGGTGGTACTGGTCGCTGAGCGGATGACACTGTGACCCTGAGGGAAGAAGAGGAGATGTAGCTATAGGTGGTAAAATGCCCCACCCACATGCTAGAGAGAGAACACTGCCCGTAACACACAGCTGAGTGGAAAAACAGAAACACGGTCAGGTTCGGTAATTTTGTCTAATGATCTATGGAATAAATGTACCAACACTGTGAACCCTGATTAGTGGCAGGAATTCCCTGGTTTTTCTTCGTATAAGCTATCTAACCCTAGAAGGCAAAGGGCTGAGCTAGAAGTCTCCAGAGAAGAACAACCATGACGGGAAGAGGAGGATTGTTTACCCTACTGTGCCACCCAGCACCACGCAGCCAAGTCAGCCAGGAGGGACCAAGGGACTGTGCGCAGCACCAGCACCTCTACCAAGGCCAGGTTCTTCTACAATCATCACAAAGTCCCAAACCCAAGCTGGGATAGACAGGGCCCTCTGACACAGAGACCCCAAGGCAGGTTACATACCTGTAATGTTCTCAGACTCTGTGGTTCCACGCCCTGGGCCCCGGGCCGGGAGGGAAGCTTGGACAGGCCCTGCTGTCCTCCATGGGCAGGAGACGGCTGGACAATGGATGCTGCGTTCTGTACAACAGGGGTCTGGGGGAGAGAAGAGAGAATGAAGACACAGAGACAGAAATCTGGTATACACCTGCACTTTTAAAATTTCTGGTCAGTGTGAAGCTTCTGTTGACCAGAAGGAAAACCGAGAAAAATGGAGTCAAGGCTTTCTTGACTGGGACCCACAATTAAACCACCAACCAACCAACCAACCACTATTCTTAGAAACTAAAAAGCATGGAACTGGACACGAATAGGCCACTAGCCGCTGACTCCAGGGCGCAGCGAGTACCTTCTGGACCACGTTCTCCTTCTGCAGCTGGCTCTGCCTCAGCTTCTTTAGCAGCACCAGCCGGGCCTCTTCCAACCTCAGCTCGTCCCTCAGCTGCTTGATGAGCTGCTGCCGTTCCTCAATGCCTTTCCCCTAAGGAAACACGAGGCCCTCAGCTACGGGGACAGGCGCCCGGACAGAGTCCCCCACCTGCGAGACGCTCTCTTCTTCCAGGTCTCAACTCTGTATCTTGCACGAAGCAGAAGCAGTAAGAGGGACTGCTGTCTTCGTGTCCCTGGGGTCCAGCTCAGTGCTGCGAACTCAGCAGGTGCCCAGAAGATGCTTTCAGAATATAAATGCTAATCAACCAGATTCCTGACAAAATAAGAATGGGCAAAGGGAGACACTGCTCTTCTTTAAAACACTGTTTCTAGGGGTGCCTGGGGGGCTCAGTCGGTTGGGCATCCAACTTCCGATCAGGTCATGATCTCACAGTTTGTGGGTTCGAGCCCTGCATCAGGCTCTGTGCTGACAGCTCAGAGCCTGGAGCCTGCTTCAGATTCTGTGTGTCTGTCTCTCTCTACCCCACTGGCGCTCGGTCTCTCTTGCTCTCAAAAATAAATAAAACATAAAAAAGAAATTAAAATAAATAAGTAAATAAAAGGGCATGCCCTCAGAGCACCTGGCTGGCTCAGTCAGTGGAGCATGAGACTCTTAAATCTTAGGGTGTGGGTTTGAGCCCCATGTTGGGTATAGAAATTACTTAAAAATAATATATATTTTTTAAGTTTATGTATTTATTTTTGGGAGAGAGAAAGCATGAATGGGGAAGGGGCAGAGAGAGAGAGAGAGAGAATCCCAAACAGGCTCTGCACCACCAGAACAGAGCCTGATACAGGGGCTCGAACCCATAAACTGCGAGATCATGACCTGAGCTGAAGCTGGATGCTTAACTGAGCCACGCATGGACCCCAAAAATATAATCTTAAAAAAAAAATTAAGGGCACATAAGTGGCTCAGTAGGTTGAGTATCCAACTCTTGATTTTGGCTCAGATTGTGATCCCAGGGTTCTGAGATGAAACCCCACATCAGGCTCCGCACTGACTGTGCAACCTGCATAAGACTCTCCCCCCACTTTGTCCCTCCTCTGTGCACACGCTCTCTTTCAAAAACAAAACCAAAACAGTAAAAAGTAAGTAAATAAATAAAATGCCCTTGAAGTTGAAAATCATTTATAAAAAGTTCATCACTGGGTATTTATTAAAAAAAATTGTTTTTAAACGTTTATTTTTGAGAGAGAGAGACAGAGACAGATAAAGCATGAGCAGGGGAGGGGTACAGAGAGAGAGACACATAGAATTTGAAGTGGGCTCAAACTGCTGACAGCTCAGAGCCTGACCGATGTGGGGCTCAAACTCACAGACTACAGGGATCATGACCTGAGCCAAAGCTGGACACTTAACCGACTGAGCCACCCAGGGCATCCCTGTGGGTAGTTACTTAGATTCAAAAAGTAAACTATAGGGGCACCTGGATGGCTTAGTTGGTTAAGTGTCTGACTCGTGATTTCTCCTTCTCTTTCCTCTCTCTGCAACTCCCCTGCTCGCTCACACTTCCTCTCAAAAATAAATACAGGGGCGCCTGGGTGGCTCAGTCGGTTAAGTGTCTGACTTCGGTTTAGGTCAGGACCACACGGTTCGTGGGTTCGTGCCCCACATGGGGCTCTGTGCTGACAGCTCAGAGCCTGAAGCCTCTTTTGGATTCTGTGTTTCCCTCTCTCTCTGACCCTCCCCTTTTCACGCTACCTCAGAAATAAATAAAATTAAAAAAAAATACATAAACTTAAATTATTAAGATGGTAAATTAAAAAAAAGTAAATTATAAAAAACAAAACTGAGACTCTTAGGGAACTGAAGAAAAGAGGAGCAAAAACGAAGAAAGAAATCATTTTATCTTTCTTCTATTTTTTACCTTAAACATCTCCAGGTTGGCTGCTTTGAGTCTTTCTTCCATTCGGGAGCTGGAGCGGGGACTGGAAGCCTCATTATCAGATAAAACAATGATGTCTGGGGAGGGAGTCAGCCTTCCACGGTCCGGCTCACTAGACAAGAAAAGAAAAAAATGAAAGTATTTCAATATTGAAGGTTCATAGAAAAAGTTAAGAAAACTTCTCTTCCACACTGAACAAAGAAATCCAAAGGAACTTAGGTCTGTCTCAATCCACCCAGGGGATTCAAATCATAGGATGAAGACACCAAGATGTAAGTGGTGACAAATCCTCAGCAAAAGTGCTCGCCATCCAAGTTCCTTGTGCAGGGGCCAGACACACGGTGACTGGCTTCAGAAATGGGAGGGAGGAGTGTTCTTTTTTTTTTTTTTTTAATGTTTTATTTATTTCTAGGAGAGAGAGAGACAGCGCGAGCAGGGGAGGGTCAGAGAGAGAGGGAGACACAGAATTTGAAACAGGCTCCAGGCTCTGAGCTGGCAGTCAGCACAGAGCCCGACGCGGGGGCTCGAACCCACGAACCGCGAGATCGTGACCTAAGTGAAAGTCAGACGCTTAACCGATAAGCCACCCAAGCGCCCCAGGGAGGAGTGTTCTTATCACATCAGTTTGAATCAAAATTCTAAACGCTTCCCCTGTATCTCACTTCCCTTTGGGTTGTCTCCCTGGTTATGCAGAGGCTCAAGAAGGAGCAAGCAGCCTGGCAGAGGCAGAACTTCGGTAGGGAATGCACGCTGTGAAGGAGGCACGCACCGCAGCCTCCACGGCGCGGCCCCAGCTCCCTGCGGGCTCCCCCAAGATGAGGTTATAGGGCACCCCTGGCGGCAGTACAGAGCTGAGGCCCAAGAAAGCATGGTTGCCAGCTGCCTGAGGGGGTGACAGTGCCAAGTCTATAGCCCTCTGGGGGACCGAAATCCCTAAACCACACCTATGGAACTTGCATCTACTTACCAGATTTGTACTTAGTATCTTCCCTCAGAAATAAACTCTCCAGAAATGACTTTGAAATCTAAATCTTCCTCACTGGCTCCTCATATTTCAAATCTCACTCATTAGACAACTGTGGTTTTGGTCTTTTGGGGCTGGTTAAGAACATCATACTTGTTTCTCATAGACAGTAAAAATGGCACTCCCTGTTTAAGAGCTGGATGACAAGAATTCTGGAAATTCTAATTGCCTCAGATTCCCAAATCACTGACCACATCTTCTAACTCTGATTTCTTGAAAAAAATATTTTTTGGGGGTGCCTGGGTGGCTCAGTCGGTTAAGCGTTCAACTTCAGCTCAGGTCATGATCTCACAGTTTGTGGGTTTGAGCCCCGCGTCGGGCTCTGTGCTGACAGCTAGCTCAGAACCTGGAGCCTGCTTTGAATTCTGTGTCTCCTCTCTCTCTCTGACCCTCCCCTGCTCACGCTGTCTCTCTCTCTCTCTCTCAGAAATAAATAAAACATTAAAAAATTTAAAAAACTTTAAAAATATTTGTTGTTTTCAGAGACAGAGCGCAAGCTGGGGAGGGGCAGAGACAGAGGGAGACACAGAATCTGAAGCAAGTTCCAGGCTCCACGTTGTCAGCACAGAGCCCGACGTGTGTCTTAAACTCATGAACCAGGAGATCATGACCTGAGCCAAAATCAGGCAATTAACTGACTGAGCCACCCAAGCGCCCGCTAACTCTCTGATTTTTTTTTTTTTTAACTCTCTGATTTCTTAACTCAAAGATATCTTCCCAGACCCTACTGCCTTTAGTTCTTCAGTATAGTCAGGAATACATAGACCTAGAACAATGTGTTCTTAGTTCTTAAACATGAAACTCAAATCCTTAAGTCCTGAGAGCCTCTCTACCACTTCTCTGGGTCTCTTGTCTCAGTTGCTGTTGGGACATGGATGCCCAGGTTTTTGGAAAAAAACACCCTGCCTATCTGGGTTAGGCATTCCATTTCTCAACTTCCAGGCACCTGGAAGGCTCAGCTGGTTGAGTGTCTGACTCTTGATTTCTGACCGGGTCACGATCCCGGGTCACGATCCCAGCTTGGGACCAACCAAGCCTCTCTGTCTCTGCTCCAAACTGAACATGGAGCCTGTTTGGGATTCTCTCTGCCCCTCTCCCCTCTCTCCTTCTCTCTGCCCTTCTATCCTGCTCACACACTCTGTCTTAAAAAAATAAACCAAATTTAGCTAAGAACATAAAATACAGGGACAGAATGATACGCATGACTGTCTTGGAAACAATTAGGTTTGTCCGGACTGCTGTGCAGGCACTGGTCACAGGCGGCTGAGCGTGTGGGGTTAGGGAAAAAGAAGCCACTAGAGGGAGAAGGGCCTTTCTTTCCCTAACCCCACATTGCTGGTATAATGGTCGGGACTACCTGAATTCATTTTCTGGTTGTTTTAGTTTTCCTTTCTACATTCCTTCATCCTTGTCCCTCCATCCCTGACACCAACAATCCAGATCTCCTTCCCTTCTTCTGGTCGGGGCTGGAGCCATGCATCAAGATTAGTTATCTATCTCTAAGCTAAGGAAACTGTCCTCACTCAAGTGAGTGTCGCTTGCTGCTTCGGGATGGCTCAGTGACAAGGAGGGCAGATCCGTTCCTGGACGGAGGCTGCGGAGATGAGCGGCATGTCGGAAGTTGTACCTGAGAACAACCCTGAGATTTTATTTTTGGATGTAAGCAGACCCACATTAGGTACAGGACAGGCAAGGAGAAGCCCCAGTTTTGTTCCATTCTTCAAGGTTTTTGGTTTTGCTTTGTTTTGTTTTGTTTTTTTACTTCTGACCTGGGATTCTGGTCTCATTTATTAAACTTTCTAAGGAGAGAAATTATTTTGCCACTTTCCCGAACATACATATGACTTACATCATTTGGTGTTCTTAAGTATGAACCCCTAGCAGTTGGAGAGAGATTACTAAAAGCCTGACCTGTTGCTGACATCAGTTACGACTCGGACGGGCAGGTTTACAAAAGACACGTACTGCCTGATCCTTCTCCTGGTAGTAAAGACAACTAAATAGAAAGAAAACGGCTGCATTTCCCTAGCACTCCAAAACATAAGCAAACACTGGTTTCATACACACCTGATGTCCTATAGTTTGTAACCTGCCCAACCGATGGCAAAAAAAAAAGTTTCAGGCAAGTACGATATGGCTATCATTGATACCAGAGGCCCTTCATTCTTTCTTTTATTTAAAAAAAAGTTTTAATGTTTTATTTATTTTTGAGAGAGAAAACAGAGACAGTGTGAGCAGGGGAGGGTCAGAAAGTGAGGGAGATACAGAATTGGAAGACAGGCTCCAGGCTAAGCTGTCAGCACAGAGCCTGACGTGGGGCTCAAACCCACAAACTGTGATATCATGACCTGAGCTGAAGTCGGACACTTAGCCGACTGAGCCACCCAGGCGCCCCTCTTTCTGCTTTTAAATTCTCTCCTTTTGTCCATATCAAAGACACTGTTGCTCTCCTTGCTGAACAATCAATGCTGTTCACTCTTATAAAAAGTGCGGGGCTAAGCAGGAATAACTGTCAGTGTATCTGGGGAAAGAGAAGAAGAGTGTCAGGGGCCAGTAAGGCCTAGTTTTCCATGTAGAATGGGGATCTAGATTGTTTACATCAACCCTCTTTTCCTGGAGACCATTAGAAACAGCTCCCAGTTTCTAGAGGATCAAGTTTCAAAAGCTCATTCCTCTAAAATAAAATCAAATGCAATGGTAGAGTTTTCCAGGTAGTCTGACTTTTCAGCACAGACTTTATTTATTTAGTACCGTACCAATAATAGCACTAGGGAGACCACACCACAATGTGTGACAGTGCTTCCATGAAAAATGCATTTTCAGGGCCAATTTGGGATGTGAGGAATCCATCCAACACCTCTCCTCCTCTCCCCCCACTCAGGTAGGACCAATATTTGCTCAAAGCGGGAGGGCACTTTCGGGGCAAGTGGTTTGCTTAGGGGCACAATCTCCTTCATCTGCTTTCTTTTTCCCCCAAAGGATCTAAGGATTAATCTATCTTCATAATCTTCAGCTCACACTACATATAGCTTCCAAGCTATCTAAGGATTTTTCTCCTCTTTTATGACCAACAGGGAATTTATCTCAAGTTTCCTAAGGGTTTTAAATGCTCTTACCAAGAATAATGTCCCCTCACTGGGTGTGGCTTAAAAAAAAAAAATCCTGGGATAGTACTAGTAACTATACATTAAAAGCTAGAGAAAGTGGGGGCACCTGGGAGGTTCAGTTAGTTAAGTGTCTGACTCTTGATCTTGCTCAGGTCTTAATGTTTATTTTTGAGAGAAAGAGAGAGAGAAATCACAAGTCAGGGCGGGGCAGAGAGAGAGCAGAGGAAGAATCCCAAGCAGGCTCTGAGCTGTCAGCACAGAGCCTGATGTGGGGCTGGAACACACAAACCGTGAGATCATGACCTGAGCTGAAGTTGGATGCTTAATGGACTGAATCAACGAGGTGCCCCTCAGCTCCGGTCTTGATCTCAGGGTTGTGAGTTCAAGCCCTGTGCTGGGCTCTGCAGTGCTCATGAAGCCTACTGTACAAAAAAAAAAAAAAAAGCTGGAGAAAAGAAATGCAGGTAAGGCTGTAAGCATTCCTTTCTCCCTCAGTCCTAAGACAAATTCAGCAAGGCCAGCTGGAGGGCAAGTGGACTATGCCCTATCTATTAGCTATATCTGAACAATTAATAAACTGAATGTTCTTGAAGCTAAGGTTGTCTACGCTGTGATTCACTGTCCTGGAAGCTGTCACCCTCAGACAGTGCCTCTTAATATGTGCTCCACTGTTTCAAGTACTCAACCTTGACACTCAAGAAAAGCCCCGTGTGCATGTGAGAGTGCACGCACAGGAGGGAGTGTGTGTACCACGTATGAACATTTATATGTACGTGAAGCCCGAGGAGGGTGGTACACACAAAGCAAGGATGGAGAGAATGACCACATGGAGACAACTGCCTTGTTCACATAAAGAAAGGCCACGCCCATGCTTCTGGATGTATTAGAAGCTGGGACTCTATAACAAACATTCTACAACTCTCAGGACGGTCTGATGCTCTCCTAAAATGGCTGTAAGATTAGAGGGAAGCATGTGTTATCTCATTTCCAACTGGCCTATCAGCTCTGTGGTGCCTCCTTCATCCAGAGATGACCGCTTTATCTTAAGGGCACGAGCTACATAGGGTTCTTCTGCACAGTAAGCAAATATATGAGGCACCGAGTTTCATCTGGAACTGAGAGGAATTTGTGGTCAAGCCAGATGGCACACATACGTCTTCTTTCAAGGTTTAGGATGGAAAACACCTCCTCTCATTGGCATTCTTTCCATCTCCGTTGCTTACGAGAAGCCCCTGTTGCCGGAGGCAGCCGGGCTGAGCCATACCTCCGCCTGGCACTCATGTCGACGGGCTCGTCACTGATGTTCTCTTTGCCTGGCCTCCCTGCAGTCCTGGCGTCTCCGTGAGGCCTGAGGTTCCCATTGAGCTTCTCTTCGTAGCCCTTGACGCCACTGCCGTCCTGTTTGGTGGGCAACTCATGCGGCACCTCAAGATTCGCCAGATCCTTCCGTTTGAGCAGCGCCAGCATTTTCAGGCGCTCCATGGCCTCGTGCCCTTCCATTTTGAGTCGCTTAGCCAGGACATCGTCTCGCTCATCTGCTGGGTCCAAGCTCCGCTTCAACAGGTTCAGGCGAAGAGCATCTTCTGTCATCCTATCCATCCTGTGGGAGGAAAATACAAATGAGATCAGAACACAAGCCCTGTAACAGTCCACAAAGAAAGAGGACGGGTGGTAAAGGTATTCAGAAGAATCACAGGAGCTCCTGGCTGGCTGAGTTGGTACAGCATGCAACCCTGGATCTAGGGTTGTGAGTTTGAGCCCCACGTTGGGTGCAGAGCTTACTGGGAAAAAAAAAAAAAGAAAAAAGACAAACAAACAAACCCTAATAGTTATATGGAAGTTCAAAGATCACTGAGCTAACTATCTACACTCTATTTTCCCAGAACACCTATATTAAAGGAAATTTCTCCATTTAACTTCAGCAGTGGAAAGTAAACTTCAAGTACTTTCTAGTTGTTAAGGTCCTGACTATACCACTGCTATACTCACCTGTACGGTCCATTAAAGAGGCTACATCTTTCAGAAAATAAACATTCTTTTTGACTTTTTTTGGTGCCTACAATGTTCAAACCATCTGTACTGGTTTTAACTCTCATACCGAATTCTTCTCCTGGAAAATACCTCTTTTATGGACCAGGAAGTTCCTCAAGTCACCCAGGCACATCTTTCATTGGCTTATCTTATAGAGAAATATGAGAAAGATGAACTAAACAGAGTGTTTAATGGGCAGCCTCAACTGTCTGGATGCAGCAAGAATCAGAGGGGCCCACTGTTATCTGCCCTCAAGTCTATACAGTATCTTAAGATACTTGGCTTTAATGAAAGACTCAGGTGTTTAGGCTGATGGGAGGTAATGCTTTCTCTACTTATGTAGCAAAATTATTAAAGGCAAGAAAATTACCATTTTCCCTCCTCTTTGATTTTTTGAGCTAACAAAATCTAAATACAGAACTTCTTCCACACTTTAAAATCCAGGGCTTGGGGTGCCTGGGTGGCTCAGTCGGTTGAGCGTCCAACTTTGGTTCAGGTCATGATCTCACAGTTCCTGGGCTTGAGCCCCACGTTGGGCTCTGTGCTAACAGCTCAGAGCCTGAAGCCTGTTTCCCATTCTGTGTGTCCCTCTCTCTCTGCCCCTCCCCTGTTCATGTTCTCTCAAAAATAAATAAATGTTTAAAAAATTTTTTTTAAAAATCCAGGGCTGTTTTCCTGGTAGGAAATAGAAATGAGGCACCAGAAAGAAAACTTTTTTTTTTTTAATTTTTTTTTTTAATGTTTTATTTATTTCTAGGAGAGAGAGAAAGAGAGACAGCGTGAGCAGGGAGGGTCAGAGAGAGAGGGAGTCACAGACTCTGAAACAGGCTCCAGGCTCTGAGCTGGCAGCACAGAGCCTGACGCGGGGCTCGAACCCACGAACCGCGAGATCATGACCTAAGCGAAAGTCGGACGCTCAACCGACTAAGCCACCCAGGCGCCCCCAGAAAGAAAACTTTTTGAGTCACAGGTTCAAACTGCTAATTACACTTATAAGATCAAATTATTTAATAAGTTACTTCACCTCCCTAAATCTCAATATTATCCGTAAAAGAGGGTACTTAGAAGATGCTCAACAGTATCTTTTTTTTAAGTTTTATTTTTATTTGAGAGAGAGAGAGAGAGAGAGAGACAGCAAGCAAGGGAGGGACAAAGAGAAAGGGAGACAGAATCCCAAGCAGGCTCTGCACTGCCAGCACTGAGCCTGATGTGGAGCTTGAACTCATGAACTATGAGATCATGACCAGAGCTGAAGTCAAGAGTTGGATGCTTAACTGACTGAGCTACGCAGGCACCCCATGAAGATGCTCAACAAAATTTAATTTATATGCTCTAGGGTTATGAGCTCTATACTCAAAGATATGACATCAGGCCCAGTGATTCACAGACTCAAGCAGCAGGACAGAGAAGCCTACGAATGTTAACTGGTGCTCTTGAAAAGAAAAATATGTATATGCTTGAGGCGTCTTCCTTCTTGTAGTGAGGAATAAAATAAGAGCTATTTGATCCTTTCCTGAGTATGAAAAAAAAGCCAGATCTCTGAGTTTTGGGGTAATGTTTCTTAATTCTCCCTTAAAAAATTGTTTTTAAATGTTTATTTATTTTTGAGAAATAGAGCACAAGCAGGTGAGGGGCAGAGAGAGACAGAGACACAGAATTTGAAGACAGGCTCCAGCTCTGAGCTGTCAGCACAGAACCCGACGCGGGGGCTCGAACCCAAAAACGGTGAGATCATGACCTCACCGAAGTCGGACACTTAACCAACTGAGCCACCCAGGCGTCCCTAATTCCCTGTTTTTAAAAGATCAGGTTTATTGAGACATAATTTACACATCACATAATCCACCTTTTTAAAGTGCATACTTCAATGGCTTTGAATATATTCAGAGTTGTGTACCCACTGGCCACAATCAATATTAGAACATTTTTATCATCTCCCCTGCCCCTAGAAAACCCATACTCCTCAGCAGTCCATCTGCCCCCATCTCTGCCCTCAACTACTTTTTGCTCCTAAATTTGACTATTTTGGACTTTTCATATAAATGAAGTCACACAACATATGGTCTTTTCACTGAGCATCATGTTTTTAAGGTTCATTCAGTTTGGAGCCTGTATTTGTACTTGGTATCTTTTCATGGCCAAATGATATTCCACTTGCACAGCTGTTTATCTGTTTATCAACTGGTGGGCATTTGATCCCCCCTAACCCTGCTTGTTGCTATTATGAACAATGCAGTTACGAAATTCTGTGTACAAGTTTTTGTGTGAACATGTTTTCAGTTCTTTAGGGTGAATACATAGGAATGAACTGATGGGTGCTGTGCTGGCTCTTTGTTCAACATTAAGAATCATAAGGCTGCTTTCCAAAGAGGCAGCACCATTCTATCTCAGTGTCAGCAGTGTGGGCGTCCAACTTCTAACAGCTTCAGACAGACATATTATAGAACATACAGACATTCTTTAGCTACAGGTCCCCCTAAGGAACTGTGTTATTTCTTCTTTTTAGTGCTTATTTATTGAGAGGGAGAGATGTTTATTTAGTGAGTGCATGTGTGTGCACGCAAGCAGGGGAGGGGCAGAGAGAGAGGGAGAGAAAGAATCCTAAGGAGGCTCCATGCTATCACTGCAGAGCCCAACTTGGGGCTCAATCCCAGGAACCATGAGAACATGATTTGAAATGAAATCAAGTGCTTAACTGGTTGAGCCACCAAGGCACCCCATGATATGTATGAGTTCTGAAGTGGCATACCTCTGAAAAATATCCCTAGATGGGAACTGGAAAGCTCAGTACTACAGAATAGCAAAAGTTAAGCTCTAACTGCACAGTAACAGTGTTCCAGGTAACTTGATCAACACCTGATGCTGAGAGCACCATTAAGAATCTCAAGGGAACTGTAGGTGGGAAAAGTCTGTTACTCAACTGATCATGCACCTAGATGCAAAGAATACTCCAGAAAAGCACACAGCAAGATATACAGATGCAAATTAATACAATATCGTGTTCTAAGTTTTGAGACAAATTATATTCATGAATACTGAAAACAGAAGACAAAGCAACAAAACGCAATAACCTAGAGTTGAATGAATGGAGTTTGAGACAGCATCATTATCCTGGCTTCTCAAACGGTTATACAAACAGCTGAATACTGCTCAAATAGTTCTTCCTTGTTATACTCCAAAGAAATAAATGGATATGAAAGCTGGGAGAAGCCAGAACCAGATATCTGAATGTCTAAGTTAAGTAATCTTTCCCAAGAGATGATCTGAGAACTCTGACCAAATTTTCCTTGCCCATTCTTGACTTTACTGATCTTATTACAAGCTCCAATTGTATGTGTTCATAGCCGGGCGTGCCTCAAAATCCAACGAAACATGGATGAATCTTGAATATAAAGTGAAGTAAGCCAAACACAGAAGGACAGCTATTTTATGGTTCTACTTATATGAAGTATCTAGAATCTGCAAATTCAGAAAGACAGAAAGTAGATTAGAGGCTACCCATGACTGGGGGTGGCGAGAGGGCAATGAGGATCTAGTATTTCATAGGAACAGAGTCTCTGGGATGAAGAAAAAGTTCTTAAAATGTACAGGGGTGATGGTTTCACACTATGAATGCACTTAAAGCGACTGAATTATATAGTTAAAAATGGTTAAAATGTTAAATTTTGGAAAAAAAGAAGAAAGGAAAATAAAGAGAAAAAATGGGGGGGGGATAATGGTAAATTCTGTGTTATGTATATTTTGACACAATAAAAAAAAATCCAATGTAACAGACAAATTAAAAATGGCACAAAAGGGGGCGCCTGGGTGGCTCAGTCGGTTGAGTGTCCGACTTCGGCTCAGGTCATGATCTCACGGTTCGTGGGTTTGAGCCCCGCATCAGGCTCTGTGCTGACAGCTCAGAGCCTGGAGCCTGTCTTCGGCTTTTTTTTTTTTTTTTTTTAATGTTTTATTTATTTCTAGGAGACAGAGAGAGAGACAGCATGAGCAGGGGAGGGTCAGAGAGAGAGGGAGTCACAGACTGCAACAGGCTCCAGGCTCTGAGCTAGCAGTCAGCACAGAGCCCGACGCGGGGCTCGAACCCACGAACCACGAGATCATGACCTAAGCGAAAGTTGGACGCTTAACTGACTAAGCCACCCAGGCGCCCCCTGTCTTCAGATTCTGTGTCTCCCTCTCTCTCTGACTCTTCCCTGCTCACGCTGTCTCTCTCAAAAATAAACCATTAAAAAAATTTTTTTAAATGACACAAGAGATCCTTTGGGGTTATAGAAATGTTCTAAAGCTGGAATGTGGTACTAGCTGTACAACTCTGTATACCTACTAAAAAAAGTCACTAAAACATAAATTATACTCCAATAAAGCTGTGAAAATAGTATTCAATGTAAACTTGTCACACAAAAATTCCTCTCCAAAAAGCCAAACAAAAATTCTATAAAATAGGGGCGTCTGGCTGACTCAGTCAATGGAGAGTGCAATGCTGAATCTCAGGGTCGTGAACTCAAGCCCCACATTTAGCATGGAGTCCACTTAAAGTAAAAAACAATTTCTGTAAAATAAATGTTGTAT